AGAGGGTTTCTGCACATAATGTCTTTTGAAATTGTAATCTTTGAAAACTGACACGATTTCCTTGCAAATTAAAAGAAGTGCCATATTAGTTGTCTTGACAAAAAAGTACTCAGCTGTACCTTTTTTGCTGAACCCTGTTTCTTCATCCATGATTTTTCCTTTTTTGGGTTCTGTTTTCTTTCAAGATTCCATTAGACAAGTTCAAAATATTACTATTGGCAATCACTGCGTTTTACTCAACAAGCAGAAGTACACATATAATACACGTGGGGTTTGTTGTGACTGAGCCTGTGCTGCTTTAGCAAGAGGAGGAGTCAGCACCACACTGTGTCTTCCCCATGTCCCCATGTCAAGGGCAGAGCCGCTTGGCAGGGCAGAGCAGCTGCCATGATGACGCAGCAGCAGGGAATGGGCCACAGTATGAGCTGTACTGGGCTACAGATTGGACATGCCTGCCTTTATGTTTTCCAGCCTCCATCCATCTGTCTGCCTATAGTATTCCAAATCTCTCTGTCCTTCCAGTATCCTTTCTCTTCTTTCCTTCAATGTAAAGCCTCTGCTTTATAGACAATGTTGCTCCAAAAGTAATGCCTCCTATTCATTTCCACAGAAACTACAACAAATAGAAACAAGGTTGGAAAAGACCTCTAAGATCCAACCATCCCCCTGTCACTGATATTTCCTGTTAAATCATATCCCTCGGGCAGCCCATCCCAGCGCCTGACCACTCTCTTAGAGAAGTGTTTCCTAATGTCCAGCCTGAATCTCCCTTGGCACAACTTGAGTCCATTCCCTCTAGTCCTATTGCTAGTTACATGGAGAAGAGACCAACTCCCTCCTCACTACGACTTCCCTTCAGGCAGTTATAGAGAGTGATAAGGACACTCTGAGTCTTCTCCTCTCCAGGCTGAACATTCCCAGCTCCCCCAGCCACTCCTTGTAAGGCCTGTGCTCCAGACCCCTTACCCGCTTACTTGCCCTTCTCTGGATGTGCTCTCAGGCCTCAATGTCCTTCTTGTAGTGAGGGCCCCGGAACTGAATCAGAATTCAAGATGCAGCCTCATCAGGGCTGATACAAAAAGCACAGTAACACTATTTATAGAGCAAATTCTCAGCTACAAAATGCTGATTTTCAGCATAGTAACCACCTTTAGCAGTGCATTCTTGCCAGCAATTAACAAGTGCCTGCATGCTGCTCATAGAAATCTGCATGGTTATCCAGAACATGGCATGTCTTTCACATCATTGGCATCAGTGCTGAAATGCACCACATACTGCTTCACTGTGCTCAGATCCACTGCTGAATCTGTGTTGATGAAAGTCAGTGGGTGCAATTTTTTTCTCATGGAGGAATTCAGTGACACAGCTTTGCTTCAGATGCACTTCCATGTCAGACACCATTCTGTCCAACTACCCCCCTGTTGCCGTCTGTCGCACAGCAAAAAAATGTAATGGAATATTGGTGGGAAGGTTCAGCCTGTGCTGCTATATGACCAACATCCGCTTCTGATGTCGTGAGCCAACACCAAAAATAGGAGGCATTAATTTTGGAGTTGTCATTTTTATTTTCTTTGCTGCATATATAGATATGTAATTGCCTGTGTGTTACTGAAAGGAAGGAGTAGCTTAGTTGCTTTCACATACAGAATTTCATGCGGTAGTTGGAATTTTATAGAAAGCTTGATAGATGAGTTGGTATGCAAATGGCTTGGCAATGTAATTCTGTTCCTGACAGTTCCGATTGTGAATTGCAATGTTTTCCACCAGTACTGGAAGAACTGGTGCTAGTGCTGGAGTCAGACAATGGTTGATTTGAGTCAGTGATACTGCCTTTAATCTCATTTGCCAGTGCACGGATTTTGTTGGATGTTTTTCATTCATGTATCAGTCAGCAGAGTCAGTGCTACTAAATGTTAGTACTGCCCAGAGAAACTGAAACCATATTCTATATCAGTAAGTGGCTTCTATTGGAAAGCTTCATAGAAACACGTTCCACTGAAATTTAACTTTGAGAGAAAAAAAAATCAGAAAAAAAGCTGTTTGGCAATGTTCATTTTCTTGTTGTTTCCTTGATATTGATTGCCTTTCAGCTTTTTTTCAGTTTAATGTCAAATCTTTTAACATAGTACAAAATCAACGGTATTATTTAAAATAAAGCATTTTGTACAACTTTCTTAACTCTGGTCTTTTAGTTATATGCATCTGAGATATACTATCCAAAACTTGTGATTTCCTCCTTGCATGATGTCTGTGCATTCTGCCTTTCTGCCCTTTTTGCCAACTTTTCTGAACACAGCACCATTGTTTCTTACACAATTATCCTACCACTTGGCTTGTGCCATGCAGTGTCCGCAGTTTCTTCTCATGTTGTTTAACCATTTGACAATGGAACCATTGCAGATCTACAGTCAAAAGATCTCTTCATTAAAATTCTTATTTGTTTCCACAGTATTCATGAAAAATAACGTAATTTGTATGCTAAATATTCTTACCCAGCATGCTGTCTGGTAATCAAAACCTATTTGTTTTCCATTGCCTCCTTGCTTTCTGGTTTCTTTTTGGTGCTTTCTATCTGAAGACGTTAGGTGTGCATTTGAATTTAGAATGGTGGAGTATAAAAGAAACAGATTCTTCAAACACTTTGATTCCAGTTCTTGCAGTACGGCACTGGAGATTTACGTTCTACCTATGTTTCCCAATGTTTTCTTTTTGAACGATATTAACTCTGTCAGTACTATAGTCTTAACATTCTGAGTATATTGATGTGTATGAGTTGTCTAGTCCATGTGTAGGAGAGCACAAGAAAATTTCAGCTGTTGCTTCTACAGGAGAGCTACTAAAGCCAAATTGCCTGCTTTTTTATTTTAATTCAAGCTTGATCTTCCAAATAGGTATTCTGAGGTTTAGTAAGGAGTTGAACCTATGCTAAATCTTTGAAATCATCCCTTCCATCCTTACCCATTACATTCATAAGAATCTGTATTTGAGAGCATTGCCTCTCTGGTTGAACTTTATCAATATAAAGTTGAAGTTTTCAATTTACAAATGCGCAGTAAAAACATAAACCTCAGTTCCTCAAGAAAAAAAAAGTCGTCGTGAAATCAGTGAGGTTTGCCATCTGAAAGTCACAAGAATTTGCCATTGTGGTAACTGGTGTTACTGATAATTGTACCACTGGGCAGGAATTTTTTTCTTTTACTTCGCATTGTTTTCGTGCCATTCCTATCATCGTTAACAAATATTGGTCTGTGATCTACGTCTAGAGTAAGGGTCCTGAGAAAAAGACTCATATCATTAAAGTGAAAATCTCATAAGAGGATATGTGAGGTGAGATTTCTCCTTGTTCTTGCTGCTGTTTAACAGAATACCTGGGCTGCATACAGCACAGTCTAAGGCTTTTCTACTGCCTTACTGATGAAAAAGCACGTGAAAAAAAAAAAGCTGTGCATCTAGGAATGTTTGTTGCATTCAAGACACCTTCTTAATAGTACTTTGCTCTTAATGCTTTATGCTTTAAGAACAGCTGAGGTTTCTGGTTTACAGCAAGTTGGATTTAGTCAACAGTGTGCCTTGGCAGCAAAAAGTGTGCATCAAGCCCAGCATTGCCACTGGGTGAGGGAAGGGATTGTCCCACTCCGCTCTGTGCTGGTGTGGCCTCATCTCCAGTGCTGTGTGCAGTTTGGGTGCCACGGTGTAAGAAGGTCATAAAACTATTAGAGAACTTCCAAAGGAGAGCTTTGAAGATGTTGAAGGGTCTGGAGGAAGACGTATGAGGAGAAGCTGAGGTACCTCAGTTTGTTTGGCTCAGAGCAGAGCAGGCTGAGGGGAGGCCTCATGGCAGCTGCAGCTCCTCACAGGGAGCAGAAGGGCAGCACTGATCTCTGCTCTCTGGCGACAGTGACAGGGCCTCAGGGAATGGCATAGAGCTGTGTTGGGGGAGGTTTGGGTTGGATGTTATGAAAAGGTTCTTCACCAGAGGGTAGTGGGCATGGAACAGGTTGCACAGAGCAGTGGGCACAGCTCCAAGATGCTGGAGCTCAAGGACCATTTGGACAATGGTCTCAGATATAGGGTTTGGATTTTGGGTGGTGCTGTATGGAGCCAAGAGTTGGATATGGTGATCCTTGTTGAGTCCCTTCCAACTCCAGATATTCTATGGTTCTTGACTAGTGGATCAAAGAAAAAACATTTCACATACTTTTGCTTTAGAAATACAGACATTTGTTTTTGAGTATTGGTTCTAGAAAATGTTCTTCTTGTTGCTTTTACTGTTTTCTTATTTTTTCTTATTATTTTCTTATTACTATTTATCATTTATTGGTATTAGTTAGTAGTTGTATTGCAACAGTCCCAAGTGATCTGATTGTGTTTTATGAAAAATAGATGATAAGCATTTTACAAGCAAAGGATAATCATAGAAGTCAGAGTTGAGACACAGTGTGTTGTAATTAGAACTGTGTGGGTGTGTGTAAATTATATGTAATCCATGAGCTTTGCACCATGGAATCTTAATTGTACGTTTACAGACAGAATTCCTCTTTGGCCAAATCCGTACTTTAAGGATAGCAAACACCAAGTGTTAGAAAAAAAATTGAAAATTGTATTATACGCCTAGCAGCTGAAGGTCCCATTCGCATATGAATCATTAGAGCATCACTTGTGAAACAATCACCAGCTTCCTTTAGTTCAAAGGAAAGAGTTGGGATGTGGGAGATCTAGGTTCTATTCTGCTCTGTTTTTTACGCAGCAGATCCATCAGCACAGGAAAGAGGATTAGATCCATGATAGGAACAGGAATTGAATTTGATGTGTTTAATTTCTTTAAGAGTGCTGAGGTGAAAATAGTGCAAAGCAGTAATATAATGTCCATTGGTCATAGACAAGGAAGAGAAAAGGCATTTGTACCATCTGAGGAGTGACAGAATACCCTTGTTTAGATGTTGGTCTGACAGCCTTTCAGCTGTCACTGTTTTTATAGCTGTATTTGTATCTCTTTCCAGCTCGTAAGCAGGAGATTATCAAGGTTACTGAGCAGTTGATTGAAGCTATCAACAATGGGGACTTCGAAGCTTACACGTAAGTACTCATTTTGGAGAGAGCTGGGCAACTGGATGTGTTCCAAACATTTCAAAATGCACATCTAAATGTGCATGTAAGACTGTGTTTATTTGTATTTGTGTGTTGCTGAAGATCATTCTCAGGTACCCTGAAGAAACATAGTTTTTGATTGCTAGTTTGCCTTAGCTTTACAGTAGCCTGGATGCCAATTTCGGAGGAGATGCTATGTAAAACTGATGTGCCTCTTTGCTGAGACAGGACCATCATCCTGACAGAATACACAGTGGCCTATCTTCTTGTATGAAAGTAAAGTTGTGGTTTTGATTTAGAATCCAGAAAACAGAGTAGAAAGCTCTCTTAACTGGAAAAAAAAGAAGTACAATAGAGAGATTGTTAGTAGCTAGATTCCCATATGTACTTCAAAGCATGAAAGACTTTGATATTCTATGTGTAACTATGTGTAACACGAGTTCCACCAGCTTCTACTGAGCACTTTGCATTTCTGTGTAAGAATTTGCTGAGGGAAGGTGGGCAGATTTCTTTCAAAACAAAGACATATTTACATCTCTTCTCTTTCCACCTCTAAAAAGAGGTAGAGAAAAATACTTCTCAGCATTTATTTTGTTGTCCTGTGCTTATCTGTGTAAGTTCTGCCCTGTTACAGCATAAGCTTCATAGGTCAACTGTGACACTGCTCTTCCTGTTTAAAGATAGGTCAAAACTTTTATTTGGTGCGATTGCACTAAAACCTGTGTTATACAAATGTCAAGTGGAAACTTGTTCTTGACTTTTATGTAACTTGTATCAAATTAAAAACATTTAAAATCTCCGATAAACTATAGTGTAAGGTGTGAAAAATATTCCTTGGGTTACATAGAGGCAGTTTTCAGAGCCAGAAGTGAAAACTAGTCTATAGAATTGTCTTGTAGGGCCATCTTTGGCAGTCTTTGTTTTTGTTAAAGGATGTTTGATTCGAGATCTAGTATCCCTGGAATAAGCTGTCAAATGTACTGATTTAGGTAAAGCCAGTTAATGCTTCCCATTGGTTTCTGTTCTTTTCCACTGTGATGTCATATGTAAGTAGTATTTCCAGTGGGAATAAAGGAAACATTTTTTTGTCCAGCAGCGTGCTACATAACTGCATGTGATTACTAATGAATTTCCTCTTTTCCACAGAAAAATCTGTGATCCAGGCCTTACATCCTTTGAGCCTGAAGCTTTGGGTAATCTAGTAGAAGGGATGGACTTTCATCGGTTTTACTTTGAAAATGGTAAACATTCCTTTTTCATCCGTGTGTGCATTCATCTGTTCCTTATGAGCGTGTTTCTCCAGTCTAATCAGCATTTTTGTTTGGGAGTTAATTGGTCTGGGTAGAGGAAGGTGGCATTAATTTTTTTTTCATTTGGAGTTCCAGTTGAATTTTTTTTTTGTCTGTTTCTGCTACATTCATTCACATATCATGGAGTACCTTAGAAGGTGAAGAACAGTTTTAAGTATTTGTAAAGAGAATAATAAGATGTTAAAAAAAAAAAAAAAAAAAGTAAACAAGTAGTTCTCATAAAGTTTTTTCTTTTGCAGAAAAGGAGTACATTATGTTATGTGGCTAGTATGCTTAAAAGGAGCACCACTAAATGGTGTGACTATGCAGTGATTACAAGTAAAAGTCAGTGCTTCCAGTGAATTTATAATGACTGCTACTATGCGATATTTTGGGGAAGACATGTAGCTTTTTGTGTACTGGCTTTTGTAGTAGAATTGTGACGGCTCTAAGAAAGAAAAATCACCCAAAGAGTGGATAAACTATGATAAAGTTTTGGAATGTTGTGCAATGAAAGTGCATTACATTTAGAGTAGACTTGACACAAAAGGAAATAAAGTATTATAAATGAAGATAACGAGTTTATCCAGTAACTTCTGAGAAATGTTTCATCAGTAAATGGAATTATTATGTTACTAAATTATCTTCCTTCTCAAAAACAGAATTTTCCATATTTTTCCTTTAACATGTTTGATTTCATTACTTCAGCTTTTTAGTTTTCAACATATAAATCTTTGACGTTTCTTTTTTTTAAGAAAAAAAAGAACACCTTTGTTTTAACTGAAAATATCAAGTACAAATGCGAATAAAATTACCCTGCTTTTTGTTTTTTTGGTTCTTTTGGTTTGTTTGTTTGTTTAGTCAGCAGGATTTTAAAAGGAATCTCGCTGTTATTTCTGTTACCATTGTTAAGAAACTATTTTGAAGTCCTTCCAACAAATGTGCTGCTGGATGGAAGAGAGGGAAGTAACGTATAATAGCATACATCACTATATGTTGTTACTATTTAAGGTGCCCCAGAACTGGTCACAGTCAAATAATTGCATATGATCAATTGCAGAAACTTGTTTGGCCCTTTAAATAAAGTAATATGTACTATTAAACATCTGACTGGTTGTCTGACAGGAAGGGTGAAGGTGTACTGTATGCTGTGACTGTGCTCATTTCTACACTGTATCTGAGTTAAGGATGATTAACAGTAAACAGCGATTATTACCTCGATATTTTTGTTTTGTAAGATGGGGTGAGATAAGTCGCTCTGCCTTGCATAGAGAAAATTTAATTTGTCCTCTGTGTGTGTTTTGTTTCCTAGCTTTATCCAAAAGTAATAAGCCAATCCACACCATTATCCTCAATCCTCATGTCCACCTTGTGGGTGATGATGCTGCTTGCATTGCATACATACGGCTCACGCAGTACATGGATGGAAGTGGGATGCCAAAGACAATGCAGTCAGAGGAAACACGGGTCTGGCACCGTCGTGACGGGAAATGGCAGAATGTTCACTTTCACCGTTCAGGGTCACCAACAGTACCTATCAAGTAAGAAACAATTCATACCATGAGGTTCAACTATGTAGGTCAGACCAGGTAGTCTAATGGCTTTTTTTGGCCTTAAAAACTACAAAACAGTCTCCTGATAGCATAATTTTTTGTGGTTATTTATGCAGTGTGTACTATATTCAGTGTTGTGCCTGCAGTGTTTGTGTAAATATTTTTTTTTAAATAATGTTTTGTTCTTGTTGTTTTCGGCTGTGATACCCACTGATACAGCTCAGTCCATGAGTTGAGAGTTGTAGAGAAAAATGAGTTAATATAGATAAGGGTTGATACAAGTCACAAAAATGGGATTGGAAAACTTGAAATACGATTCCAGGAAAATGAGGAGAGGAAAAAAAAAAAGTGATAGGATACATGGAGCTGTTAGAGCTGACTGGAAAATGTGAAGGAAAAAAAACCCTGAAATTTGAGTAGTATTTTCTGTAATTTCCAGCCACCTCTATCCACTCAGGCCTACCAACATTCTTTACAACTCAATTTTGAGTCAGTTTATGTATTTCCTTTGTAATGTCATATGAATACCTATCATGTTCTTACCTTTTTTCCCATGCTCCTTTTGCTTAACTGCTGAGTGGTCACTGTCTAATAATTACTCCACTTCTATGAGTAAACCTCTCGTCTCTTTTGTCATCATTTTTCTGCGTCAGTTCTTTGTTGTTTTTTGTGTTTTTTTTTCCAAATGCCCTCTAACTCTAATGCCCTCAGTCATGCTGTGACTCAGTGTGCACAAACCTGAATTCCTTGAGCCAGGTATTCAGAACATTCACAGTTCTTTAAAAAAGTTAGAGTCATGGCTCCTTCAAGTGGTTCTTCTCAAGTCCTTTGCTTTTCTTCTGCTTTTAGCCTTTACTAACTCTGCTGTGTCTCTTGGAGCCCAGGTTGGCCAGTTTCATTAAGAAGACACTTAAATTAGACCATTTCTCAATTAGGCAACACTGGCATAGGCTTTAACTTGCTCGGGTGCAAGCCTTCTGTGTAAGATATAATTACTTTTGCATGAAGTGCCTTAATGTGGATAATTGCTGAATTTGGCAGTGTGAATGATGAAAACTTAGATTTCATCTTTCGAACTTCATCAGGTCCCATAATTTACTTGCAGAATCATTCCTGTACAAAATAATACTCAGTTATTAGGGAACATAGAATCATAGAATATCCTGACTCAAAAGGAACCAACAAGGATAAAGTCCAACTCCTGGCTCCACACGGAACTACCTAAATGCAATAGAACAAAGTATTAAATTTCAGTGAGGAAGATAGATACAGAGATGTATATATTTAGGAAATATATATATGTGTTTAGAAGAGGAGTGATTTTGTTACCTATTGATAACTGTAGTGTTTTGTTTTTTAAAGGGAAACCAATGAGAGAACCATGTTGTTCTATTTTTCACATCACAGCTGCATTGCCAGTGTTAAAACAGATAATATAGAAAGAATAATTGCATTTTCTTGAAATGCAGTTATTTTTTGATGTTTTCTTAAGGGTGTTTTTTTCAGGGGATCTGACCTGGATATGTGTAGAGCCAGAAAACAGAAGTGAGACAAGATCAACTGTCCCAGAGCATCCTGGACAGGGTCTGTAGCAGACTCCTGTATAGAATTGGAGTAGGGAATTATTTCATCTTTTTTTGTTGTTATTCTGTTTTTTGAGATGGTTGGGGCATAGGGAAAAAAGCATCTTTTTCTTTTTTTAAAAAAAAGAAAAGCTTTCCTGACCTAATTTATGGCACTTATTCTTAGACACTAAAAATCAGAAGACAACAAAATAACCATCCTGTTACTATTTTTATGGAAGATTATGGAATTTATCCAGCAATACATGTGAAAACAGTTCCAGTAATGATTTACAGAGATGTACTACATAGATTCTACAGCTTCTTCTGTTTGAGATATAATGCTGTAACAGGAGCCTCAGTACTAGTTCACATAACACACAGCACGTGCGATCACAGAAGATGGGCTGCTGCGTCCTGTGACATGTACTGTTCCTGCAAACACTCACCAGTGCTAATTTCTCTGGAATATAATGAGCATGCACAGTGCATCTGGCTGCCTCAGGGTCTGCAGAATGCAGATCTCAAGGGAATACAGTTGCATATACAGGCCTGAGATGCTCCCCACAGAAGCTGTGACAGTATTTCAGACTGTCAGTTCTTTATGTCTGCTCATACTGTCTAAGAAGAGTAAGGATTATGGGACTAAGAGGAGTTGCAGAAGTGCAGAAGAAGCTGAGACCTTTTTTTTTTTTTTTTTGTGAGTCTTCCCATTTCTATGCCAAATTGTCTAAGACAGCCATTTATTTCCATTTATTTATCCTCAACTGTCATTTCCAGCCAGCAGCTATAAGGAAACTTGCTGAGCGTGTGCAGCTTTGTGTTTCCTATTACTTTATATACTATTTCTGAATTACCCACTCTTCAAGGTCATTTGGACTTTTCACACAATACTCCTGTTTTCTTCTCTATTTATAATGCCTTCCACCTTTGTGTAAATGTGTTTGTGCTCAGGTCATTGACTGAGACTCCTCTAGTCAGATATTTCCCCTTCCAGCTCGAGTACTGTCATTTTTCTTTGTTATTTTCATTTGTATTTTTCTGCTAAACTACATCTTTTCAAATTTGTGTAACATATTCCCACATAGCACTGTGTCAGAACTCACTTTCCGTAAACCATCCTGGCTGTCTTTACGATCATCTTTGACTTTATATTTACTTTTCCAGTCAGACCAGCAATTCCATTTTTTGTAAATTTTCGAAGAAATTCAAATTGAATTCATTCCAGATTATCCATGTTTTCTTCTCTTGTATTTGAAATTTACAGTCTATAACAGTTTATTTATTACCAACAATTATATAAATACATAAATACCAGTAATTAATAATGGCATTTATGTAATAATAATAATAGAAAAAAATCATACTCATACTGTCTGATGAAGAGTTTCAAATCTAATAAATTTGCAAAAGCAGTTAATTATAGCTGTGATCTGCTTTTGCAAACATAGTATCCTATGTTATTTCAAATCAGTTTGAGCAGATTAGCTTATTTATTTTGAGGACTGCAGTAACAAGTGCACAAATCCAAGGACAGAATTGAGCTCTCTGGTAGCAATAGGTATATGGAGATATTTCCTGAGGGCAAATATGATTTAGAGGAGAATATGAACACAAAAATATGTTTAGTTTATGTATGAATTTTATTTGTAGTTTTTGCTGTGAGACAGACCAGACAAATTTTAGTTTCTGTCTTGCACATTGTTTCTCTGTATTTGAGTGATGTGTCTGGTTCTAGGAACTCGTTCTCTGTATTCAGTTATCTTAAGAGTATGTGCTACTGTATTTCTACAGAACTGTATCTATGTGTGCGCAATGAGTGGGCATACATTGTTTAGGCATTTAAAAACTACTGGACCTGCAAGTGGTTCCCAAACCTTAATACCTGTGATTCCCGGGTCTATATTCACTCACTTTATCACATCTTACACTTCCTTATACGTTCCTAAGTTACATACGAAACAGCAAGAAACTTGAGTAAAGACTTTGTTCTGTGTTTGTACAGTGCCTAGCACAGCGGGATCCCATTCATGACTTCGGCCCCTAAATGCTACGGTAATGCAAAAGATACTGTGAGCTCAGTTAACTACTTTCTTACATTTTCCCTTTCTTTCCTTATTTCTTTGCATATTCCTCTAGCATGTCTTGCATGTAAATGGCATCTGACTCTTCCTTGTTACTCAGTTCAGTTTTTGTGTGAGAATCTCACTCTTGCACAGTGACTGTAATGCTAAGGAAGTACGTTTAACTGGAAGAGTGACTTGTATTTGAATTTTGCCCTCCCTCCTTTGAGGAGGTGATTAATTTTTGTTTTAGCACTCTGTCTGGCATGTTGTAAAGATTGAAAATGTGTGTAAAGTGGTTTGAAAAATAAAACAGTGCTTTGCTTGAGCATTTGGGGCTTTTACTTCCTTTGTCTAGTTTTCCTCACAGGACTGTGTTAAATGATCTGTTGAAGGCTTTATTTAAGAAGTACTGGCTAGCACTTGAGCATGTATTGTTATCTGGTGATGATGCTACTTCAGTAATGGCAATCTTTTTTTTTCTCCTTCCTCCTAGCTAAAATTATCAGCGGTGCCGCTCTTGTATTATCTGTACCCAACGCACCTGGTTTAGTACCATCTTGGCCATCCCGTTCTCTTCATGAATGTTTCTGAGTGCATGAAGTTGTGAAGGTTCTTCATGTAACACATTTGTGATGCACCATTTTGCTGTGTATTCCATCTGTACACTGTTAACATTTCAATGAAGGTGGTGTTCCAAGCAAATAGAAAATAGCAAGGCAGAAAAGAAAAAAAAAATACACTTCATGTACAGCAGTATATACAGGATACATTTGTCATCTTTTCTCCATTTATGCCAAGTTTTGACAGCCAACTTCAAAAACTATCCTATTTATAAAAAAGAAAAGAAACAAAAAATACACTTTACCCTCTTTTCTTAAGAACTGTTTTTTGACTCCTTTTCCCTTGAGTCCTCCTTGGTTTTGCTTTCATTCTGATAGGAGTGGTTAGGATTTCTGCTGGCAGCTCTGTTATTATAAAACAGATTTTTATTATATCTTGTAGATGGACAAAATCACTGATAATTGAGGAAGTGATAATATCTTGGCTTTGTACCAGCTGAAGGCTTCTTAGTTTATTAGTCTATGTCAACTGGAAAAATCTTATGATTTGCTGGCTTGATTACTTCAGGATTAACTGTCAATATTCTGGCTAGTCAGCATTCTTCTTTTTTTTCATTGAAGTTTTTACCTTTGCTTTCATACTATGCTAAATGAAAATTTATATTGGATAATTAATCAGAATTAAAAATCATAAGGAACTAAGTGACAATTGAGAGGCAGGTTTCGTTTAAAAAGAGATTCTAAAGAGATCTAAAAAATAGATTTTTATCACTTTTAGAGTGCACTGTAAAGTTAGTAAGGAGTCTTTAAAGCATTTTACATTTTTGTTTAAGCTGTAGACCACATCAGTGGTTAGTATACTCTAGAAGTATTAGGCCTTAAAAGCTTAGTATGAACAGTTTGTTTACTTTCCAATGTTGCTGTTGCTTCTCTGGAAATGTATTATATCTACACCAGTTTTCTAGTAAGGCTGTAGTACCTTTCCACAGATTTGGTTTTTTTCCCACTTCGCCCTCATTCTGTTCTTGGTTTATGAAAATCATCAGGCAGCATACAATATCAAGGACAGCAATCTCTGCAGTTTTACTAGTTTGTTTTGGCTCTTTATCCCTAGTTGCAAATGTCTGTACATTGTGCAGGGAATGCTCTCAATGTCGGTTCGGAACACAAACTTTGTGACAGGGACCGTTTTTGCTTCCCTTACAGAGCTGTGAGAGTGCATCCTTGCAAGGATTTAGGCTTATTCCTTTCCATTTACATAGAAGAACGCAGGGATCAGTTATTTCTTTTTCATTTGTTAATTATTTTATTACCAACAGGGCTAACTGTTTTCTGCAGCGCTGTATAGTGCATGATATCTCAGTGCTCTTTTTAGCAGTGAAAACTTCACAACTCAGCAGCCTGAAGTTTATAAAATGGGAAAGCTTCCTAATTTGTATAATTCCACCTTTCTGTGTTGTTACTAATCAAAAGCAGTTCTTAAACATTTTGATGTTGTTGCTAGTGGATGTATGGTAGATGGATTTAAGCTTCTCTGATAATTATTACATGATTTTAAACGTATATATTTAAAATAAGCATCTACAATAAATGTGTTGAGCCATATTAACCTGCCAATGGGATCTGTGAAAAAGAGTAATGGCCTCATTTTTTTCTCATTAATTTCTTTACCTTTTTTCCTTTTTTTCTTTTTTTTTTTTTTTTTTTTTATTTTTTTTTTTTTTTTGTGAAGCGGCTATAAGTGGCATAACTGTATTTAAAATTAACAAATTAGTTATAGGTTGTTTTGGTTTTTTTTAACATACTTCTAACATAGCATGTGGTGTTGACGTATTACTGTAGATCAAATTTGTCTTCCACACCAAGATGTGAGGAAATTGTGATTTGTTCTCTCCACCACGACTGAATTATACATTTCTGTCATTTTGAAACACTGCAGTTTACCATGGGATACAGTGTACATATTTCTTGCCATAATGGTAAATGATTGATATATTTAAGGATTAATAAATTTGTGATTTCTGCTGACACTGTGCTTGTGGATTGATTTCACAATTAATTGTGGTTTTGCGCTGGAAAATGTGGAGTGTCTGTTTGAATTAAGAAGTCGGAAATAAGGATGTGGTCTCGTAGAAGCCAGATTTGCCGTTTGAAAATACAAATATTTGCTTTTGTGATCTGTCCTTTCATTAATTCTTTTTAACTGTCTTTTCTGAGGACCCAGTTATACATTGTTTATAGAGTGATTTGTTGATAGATTTCACATGTGCTTTGTATTTGTAGGTCCATGGTCAGAAGTGTTTGAGATAATTTACGTCTGTAACTTTCTGTCTCCTTTTTATGCTTAGCACCTAACACAAGATGCTATAAAAGAATAATTATTATATGTCTACAGTTGCAGGACTTAAAAATGCAGTAAATTCCATGAATAAGTAGGATTTCAAATAATATACTAGTTTAAAAGTTCTCATATATGGCTATTATGATTTTTAGGCTTTTTAATCCTGTGCTGAGACACAACTGAAAGCAGCTCTTTTCTACCAGCAGAAAAGAGAGACTGAAGGAGGAGAAGACTCAACTTTCAGCTTCCGTGGGTCAGGAAACATAGAGCTGGATCATTTCCCTGGCTCTGCGCCTAGGGTGGCGTAACTGGGAGCCAGAATTATGGCAGTGGCTTCAGTGTGACAGTGATCCAGAAGCACTGCCTCTTGAAGGTGCACAGGAGTATTCCTGTGTACTGAAAATTGCAGTGCTTCCTTTTTGGTGGCATTTTGCTATGTAACTGTAAACAAAAAGAAAACAGTTATGAGAGACCTCAGAAGTTTGGAATGTTTCAGTAAACCTCAGAGGAAGTAAAAATGGTTTAGTCTGGATGGTTTAAATTTTGTCATATCACTTCTACCTACTTTCTTTACTCATTTTTTCCACTAACTGCTGTTCCAGAAATCAGTGTGACTTCCATTTTAACTGTGTGCTTGCAGTAAACTGTTTGACAGGGGAATTGTTACTAATTTTAGATATGTAGATGAGAAGGAAGTGTGTAAAGCATAATGACCAGGAGAATGATGGAGAGAATATATTTGCTGAATGTCAGGGTGAGGATTTGGGGGAGAAGTGATTTTTATATTGCTTTGGATGTCTTATAGCACAAGAGTTTTAATATGCTGCCTCCTGGTGGCTTTTTTAATATTGTTTTCTAGTTAGGAAGGCAAAAGATGATGCTATTTGTTCTAATCAGAAAGGAACTCAGTGGTTTCTCTTCTTTTTTAATGTGAGTAGGACTGTACAGTATTCTACAGGTTGCAAACATGTATTTACTTGGTCTTGAAATACACCATACACATACCTGGAGGAATCAGATTGACTCAGTTTTCTGAAAATGGGCTCTCAGTTCACAGTTAAGAAAATAAACGTCTCTCTTCTGGTCATAAATGAAACCCAGAGTTCACTGTTTCAGAAATTAACTTAGCCATTTCTTCAGTGTGTTATTAATGTTTCGTAATATACCCTCTCCATGGAAAAGCTTGTGGAAAATTTAATTATACCATTCTTCACGTCTTTAAAAAAAAATAAATAAATAACTTGCACTGTCATATTTTGTATGTAACTCAAGAAAAGAGCATTAGTCTGAAAAACAGCTATTCCCTGGATAATTGATCCAAATTACTTAAGGAGACTTGGCTTATTTCCTCCTAACAAATTGGTGGTAAAATACAAGAAAAGGAAACATTGAATGAAACTTAGAAAGTGGATGAAACTTAGAAAGGATGCAGTGGGTTAAAAGTCCAGTGCTGCAAAGTCCAGTTGCTTAATGTTTGGTTCCTGTAAAGATAGTCACTGTGGCAGAAGCCTGTTCTGCTTTTGATGTCCATGAGAGGTGAGGCTTGTCTACAGTGAGGACTGTCTATGCCTAATATGAAAGGAATCATGTGTATAGCAAACTAGAAGCCTTTCCTCTCTTCTCTCCCTCTCTTACACAGATATCCTTGAGAGTAGAACATGTGGGAATGTTTCAGGATCTGCTTCCAAGATAGCGTGCATGTAAAGGGAGGAGAACACTGCCTGCCCATCTGCTCCAGAACAGCAGCATGAAGCTGCATATTTCCTGCATACTCCTGTACAGGGCCTGAACCTAGGCAAAAGGCATTGCAAATAGTAAGTTTGGGGAAAAGGAGAACATTTAATCACAGTGTGAGAGGAAAAGAACCAGTGCAAAAAAGGACACGTTGATAGAAAACAGGGTTTACAAGTTGAGAAGATGGGAGAGCAGTATATCCTTATTTACAGAAATGTTGTATTCTTTTTTTAAAGATGTTGCCAGAACCCACTAATGTCACTAGACCATCTTGTGAACTAACTGGGAATTTGGCCCCCTTTTTGATCATAATGCCTTCTAGTTAGATAATTGAGTGTAGCAAATGGCTGGAACAAATTCTCTTCTCTAGGAGATTAAAGCTGCAAGAGCTGAGACTGTGTAGCTACGTTATGTCCTCTGAAAGGTTGCATTAAGTTGCAGAAATTATCATGAATCTGACACAGCTCATGGCTGAGAAGGGCTATTAGGGCATTGGTGTTATTTCTGCTATTCCCTGAACTTGGCCTATAGCAGAAAGTCACTGCCTCAGGTCAGAAAAGCAACTATATGTCACCAGTTTCCCTGATCAGTATTGGGTATTTCCCCTGTGTACTATCAAGCTAGTGCAGCAGGAGAGGGGAGTGAATTTCTGGTAAACAGCTCACTGCTCTGAGAGAGTTCAAGGCAAACAAAACAACCTTACGCTGGGAAGGAAGAGACCATTCCACTCTTTCACCACTCCTTTTCCCACCCTTCTCAGGCATTCGGGGTTGGCTCTCTGAGAAGACAGCTGCCCAGGACCAAGGCACTGGCAGTCACAGATTGCTAAGTAACAGGTGTAGTCAAGGGATCATGCTAGCAAGCTACCAGCAAGGTAGTAGAGGTAAGAGCCCATGTTCCTGTGCCTGATGGCTCATTTTATAAGCAAAGTCACCGCTGAACATTGGTACCTAAACAAAAATGAAAAACACTAATTGAGAAGGGATTACTCCAAGGCACACATCTCTGGTGATACAACAAGGCACTAACTCAAACATCATATGGAACTGTTGCCATGGAGACATGGTAAGCAGGGGAGCAAAACCAAGAATTCAGCTCCAAGACCTGGTAGTAGAATTAAAGATGCTTACAGTCTCAGTAAAGAAAAAATAAGTATATTAACACTTTCATGAAGGAAGATGTTAATGGTCTACTGAACTCTTGATGCTTTTGCACAGAAATTATTTTGAAGGGTACAAAGCAACTGCTTGGATTGTTTGTAGACATTGTTGATGTTACCTTATCTGCTGGTGATAGTACCTGTATGCACATGATCACATCTTGATGTGTACATATACATTCCATGGTGACTTTCTGAGCCTGGCAACCAGTACCTTAAACACAATGTAAAACGGGATTCCCAAATAAATCCCAGGAGGCTTTGCTATGTGGAAGATCTACTGAAAGCTTTACAGTGCTCACACTATAAGCAAAACTATCAGGAGTACCAGAGACTGGTGCCAGAGGCAGCTGATGGTCTGCGCTATGGTTTTCTGCAAAGTAACAGAGGATATCAATGGGCAAGAAGCATTGCTCTGATGGGTGAAACTGTGAATTGTAGCCTGAATGGATGAGATTAAACTGAGTTTCATTAAAATCCTAATATAGGGAGTAGTAGACACAAGGGGAGATTTTATATTTACTTGCTGTTCTGTTTTGGGCCTCTCTGTGCAGTTTTGGGCCCCTCACTACAAAAAAGACATTCAGGCCCTGGAATGTGTCCAGAGAAGGGCAACGAAACTGGTGAGGAGTCTGGAGAACAAGCCTTATGAGGTGCAGCTGAGGGAGCTGGGATTGTTCAGTCTGGAGAAGAGGAGGCTCGGGGGAGACGTCATTGCACTTTACAACTTCCTGAAGGGAGGTTGTGGTGAGGAGAAAGGCCTTCTCCCAGACAACAGGACCCGGGGAAATGGCCACAAGTTATACCAGAGGAAGTTTAGGTTAGACACGAGGAAGAACTTTTTCTCTTAGAGAGTGGTCAGGCACTGGAATGGCTGCCCAGGGAGGTGGTGGAGTCGCCGTCCCTGGCAGAGTTCAAGAGGCATCTGGATGAGGAGTTACGAGATATGGTTTAGTTTGTGGTAGCAGTGGTAATGAGAAGACGTTTGAGCTAGATGATCTTGTAGGTCATTTCCAACCTTGTGATTCTATGATTCTATGATTCTTGGTGCTCCGGATATCCCTGGGACATGCTCTTCACCTTACCTGTCAAGAGAGTCCTTCTGCTGTGCACATCTGTCCTTCCACTCCTTCCTGAGAACTCCTCCTTTCTTAAGATAACTGATCAAGCCAGCTGTCCCTGACCTGTCACAATATCCTGTGATAACAGCATTCCTTTAGAAAAGCTCAATTTGCTAAGCCATTGTGATGTGTTGCAATTGAGCTCCATTGGCCTCGAAAGTCTCCAGGGGCAGGACTTGAACCACATTTCTGAACAACCTGTAAAATAATTTTTCCTTATATCCAATCTAAATCTAACCTCTTTATGCTTCAAA